TTTCCATTTTTTCATATTTTTTCTTTTCTCTTATTTCCTTTCCTCTTTCCTTCCCACTTCCCCTTTAACCACTTTCTTCCTATTTCACATTGTCAATTATAAATTCGTTTGAAACTTATTTACACTTTTAGTTTTTCTCACCAGAGAAATTATTCGGTATTTACTCAAGTGGGTCCTATTTATTTCACTTAAGAGTATAGCCTCAATGAACATCCATTTAGCTGTAAATGTCTCTAGTTTCTCACTCTTTATGGCTGAGTAGTATTCCATTTTATAGAAAAACCACATCTTCTTTATCCAGTCTCCCGTTGATGGGCATTTGGGTTGTTCCTAAGTTTTAGCTATTACAAACTGTACCACTATAAACATGGGTGCACATATATCACTGTGGTATGATTCTTTTAATTCTTTTGGAAAGACCCAGCAGAGGGATGGCTGGGTCAAATGGAACCTCTAGTCCTAGTTCTTTGAGATATATCCATATTGATTTACACAGTGGTTGCACCAGTCTGCACTCCCACCAACCGTGAAGAAGGGTTCCTTTCTCCCCATAGCCCTGCCAGCATTTGTTATTCGTTGATTTCTTGATAGCAGCCATTCTTTCTGGGGTAAGGTGGAATCTCAGTGTTGTTTTCACCTGCATCTCTCGAATGACCAGTGATGTTGAACATTTTTTCATATATTTATTTGCTGCTTTTTCTTGTTGTCTGAGAAATGTCTGTTCACTTCAGATGCCCATTTTTGAATTGGGGTCTTTGTATTTGGGTGGTCTGATTTTTTCTGAGATCTTCATATATTCTAGATAGTAGTCCTTTGTCTGAGGAGCAGCTGGTAAAAATTTTTCCCACATTGTAGGTTGTCTCTTAGCTCTGTTGGTGGTTTCTCTTGCACTGCAAAAACTTTTTAATACAACCTGATGGCTTGGAACAAGAGCTTAACATCATATCTCCTGGGTCTTTAGCCTGCTGAGTCACCCTGCAGATCTTGAGATAATCACATGAGCCAACTTGTGTATGTGTGCACATGCGTGCATGCAAGTCTTGTGCATGTGTGTGAGTGTGCATGCATGTGTGTGTCCTTTTGGTTCTATTCCTCTGGAGAACCCTGACTAATATGGGAAAAATCCATCTATCACCTCTTCTAGCTTCTGGCAGCTACTGGTACTTTGTGATTTGTGACCAAGTCATTCCAATCTCTGCTTGCATTAGATTTTGGCCACTATAGCAAAATACCTGAGATAACCAGCTTTGAGAAGAAAGGGTTTTTTAGCTCCTCGCATTTCTGGAGGTTGCAGTCCAGGATCTGTTGGCCCCATTGTTCTGGGCCTGTGGGGAAGCAACGCATCATGGCAGGAGTGTGTGGCAGAGCAAAACCACTCACGTCCTGACCCAGAAACCACCGAGAACAAGGGGCCAGGTGGTCATAACCCCTTTCAAGGGTAGAGCCCCAGTCACCTAAAGATCCCCTGCCAGGCCCCACCCTTTAAAGTTTCTGTCACCTGCCCTACTGCTGCCCTGGAGACCAAGGCTTTAATACAGAGGCTTTTGGGAGATACTTCAGATCCAGACATAGCTCTGCTTCTGTGTGTTGTCGTCTCTTCGTGGTGTGTTTTATTTTATAGGGATATTGTCACTGGATTTAGAGCCCACCCAGATAATCCAAGGTGATTTCCTTATTCAAGATTCTTACTTGTTATATGCGCAGACTCTTTTTTCCAAGTAAGATCATATTCACAGGTAGTAGTGATTAACACATGTTGGCATGTCTTAGGGGCCACCATTGGATTCACCTCAGATTCAAGCTCCATAAGAGGAAAGAGGTCCCTGGAAAGGGAAACCAAGAGACAGAGAGGCCTGGGTGAGCAGGGGACTGGTTTTTATGACAATCCCTTCTGCAGTATTGTACTTCTTTTCTCTGATCACACATTAGTTGTTTTTCCAAATCTCAAACAATAAGTTACTGAGCCGCTCAATTTTTCAAGCACCTTAAATGGGTCTCTTGTATCCATCAGCTCACTAGACCATGCCTGCTCTTCTGCTGCCAGGCCCTCAGCAAAGTTTCCAGCTCCCCAGAGCACAGGTTGGTCTCAAATGTTTTTCACAGCTGAACTCAAGAAAGCTGTTGGGAAGAATGTGTTTATGGGGTTTTGATCCACACTTAGATGAAGACAGTAGCATTCTCATTTGCTAAGAAAATAACTCCAGATCTTCCTAGTGCTGCAGTATACACAAACCTGGTTACATACTTAAATCCCAATTGTGCAAACATAGTTTCTGGTGTTTCCCATGCAGTGGAAATAGTCCCCAGTGTAGAAGTGACAATACCTAAAGCAGAGACCAAACTCTCCCAGTGCCACTGTTGGCCAGAGGGGGTGAACTGAAGCCTGTGCACTGGGCCATCTTGGACTGGGTTCTTTAGAGGCAGACATACTTGCCTTGCATATTAAATAAGTTGGAGTTGTCTTTACTTCCTTAAGAAATTTCTCTCTCCCTCTCTCTCTCTCTCTCTCTCTGTCCCTCCCTCTCATCTTTTCTTCTCTCTTGACCTGTTTTATTTGCCTACTTTTGAGAAAGAGGGGCTGGAGAAGTATATTCCTCACCTAAATCTCCAACAAGAAAGTCAACTGGGCAAACCTGGTGATAAATGGCAACTGACACTTGGCCTCCCGATGGGGAGATCTTGGGGTGGGGTGGGGGCTGTGACAGAGAAGACTGCACACACTCTAAGAGACAGCCAGTACCCAACCCCCAGCCCGGGTAGCTACTCTGGATTATGGGCCACAGGGTGTCAGAGCTTCTAGTTTTTCAGGAGAAAGTGATCAACCAAATTTTTACATAAGCTCTTCTGATAACTTCATGTAAGAAACCAATTTAAACTTTTTTGTCTGCTGTGTAGGGCAAATAAAACATTCATGTCAGATTTAGCCTATGGCCCTCTTTATAAAACTTTGTCCAAATGTCTTAGCACTTTAGGTTCTTGGCCAGCCTCAAGCTATTTCTTCACTTTGTTTTTACATCCAAGCATATCCTTATCCTCCTCTTTTCCCTTCATTTTTCTCAACTCTTAAACGAACGCCCCCAAGGGGGTAGTAACACAGCAGCCCAAGACACCATCCTGAGAGGAGGATTCACAGTCTAGGGAGCCGGGAATACAGACTTCTGCTTGCTTGGGAAAGGGAGGGGCCTTCCTAGTGCTGGCTGAAGGGGGGCAGTGGCTGCTCTCTGGCAGCCGCCTGGTTGTTTTGGACACTTCCTTCTGCAGACTGTTCTGTTCTCGACCCAATGATGCCATTTTTAGTGACTCATTAGTATATTCATTAAGAGTTGTTAGCACATAAAAACAGTGCCGGGAGGGCTGGCCAAAGGCAGCTTCCTGGACATCAGCAGTTGTTTGAATTTCCTTGGCAGCAGGGAAGGGACAAAAAGACAGCAAACTGATTCCCAAATGCCATCGACTCAGAGGGTGCTGTTTCTTCAGCCTGCGCTTACTGAGCACTTACTGCGGGTACTTGTGGGTATACATGTCTTCCTCCGATAGAATAATGAAGTATGAAGTCATCCTCTCCCATTCTCTCCCTGGTTCACTCCCTTAGGTAACACTGACCCTTCTATTCTCTGACACGTTTTCTTGGCCCTTTTGCAGGCTCTTTTCACTTGCTGTGCCCGCTG